AAATCATATCAATATTTGGAAGATCTACATACCTCAGTGAACTAATAACGTTCAAATGTGGGTAAAAACCCATCAAAGGGCATGACAGACCAACTGATTTTAATAAAGAAGAGTAAACAGATTCACGGAGCCTGCATGACAACTAACCTTTATATTATGAATATGTTTTAACTCTGCCTAGTATTGAATAGCATTTGGTATGCTCTGGTTTATTCACTTGTTTATTTTTCTTTCCTGACTGGAATAAGAACTGTATGAGGGAAGAATTTTGCCTCTTTCCTTTATCATTATACTCCTCGAGCTTGGAGTAATACATGGCATGGAGCAGACGCTCCATAATGATGTTTGGCATTATAAATACAAGTTGGAACAGTGTTTAGCCCTTATAGTCTGGAGATTCAAGAATTTCTAATGATTTCAGGGGAAAAAAAGGTATAAGACATATGGTAATCAGAATAAATTTTAAAACATTTTTATACATAAATACCTAACCCAGAGGGATTAGTAGGTAAGAAATTGTGTGGCCAACCCCAAAGCCAGAAGTTTGAGTCCATTAACTGCTCTATGGGAGAAAGCTAGGCAATCTCTGCTCTATGTAATTTACAGCCTCTGAAATAGCTGGAAAATCAACTCTGATTTGATTTTGACTCAGTGACAATGAACAATAAATTATATATTTTATGTATGTGAAGAGGTGTCCCTAGTTTGTCAATGAGATGAGATACAGTTAGCTTACAATTGATTACTAACACGATTTGAAACGCCCAACAGTTTACCCCCAGCTTTTAAGTAAATCAAACACTTACCCACCAGGACCAAACCAACTTTTAAATACAATGGCCTGCCCACCAGATCATGATTGTCTTCATAAGAGGCTTCCCATCAAAGCTGATTGTAAACGAGATCAAGTGTAGTTCATCAAAATCCTATGCACTTTGTAACCAGGGACTCAAACTCCAATTTCATTGTCATCTAGTGGATTCCAACTCACGGAGACTTTATAGTACTAAGTCAAACTACCCCATAAGGTTTCCAAAGCTTTTCGGAAGCAGACCTTCTCATCCTTCTCCCTCAGAGTGGCTGGCAGACTTTTCAGTTCGTGGTCAATTCTTAACTGACCGCATCACCAGGGCTGCTTAACCAGAGACTCACTCAAAATTCAAATGCATTGCTTTGGAGTCAGAGCTGACTACTAACTCAGACCCATCACTGGATTTCTGAGGCTATAAAATGTGTGGGAGGAGAATGTTCCTGTTTCTGCTGCTGGATTCGAACTACCAGACAAGGAAGGCCTTCGGGTTAGCAGCACAACTTCCTACAGACTAGGCCCCAGAGCTCCCTATGTGAAACAGCATGGCTAGAGGATGCCTCTATGGTGTGATGAATTTTTTTTAACCTAGCAAAGCTATGTTTACAACCTATTTCCTCTAGATTATTTATATAATTAAAAATACAATTTCAGGATAAGAATAAATATGGATCTTTTCCAGTCAGTTGGCTAGGAAGTAGTCCTCCCGATTTCATGGCACAACATGATGAGCACATCCAGAGCTGTTTATCGAGAAAAACATGATCCATCATAGTGTAGAAATTATCAAACAATATCACTAATATCACACACAAGGAAAATCCTGCTAAAGGTTATCCAAAAACAACTGGAACAGTACATGGACAGAAAACTGTCAGAAGTGTAAGCTGGGTTTGGAGGAGGCCATGGCACTAGGGACATCATGTTGTTGTTGTTATTATGTGCCATTGAGCCACCTGGAACTAATATCAAATCTATATAAAATAGCTCTGAACTCTGATCTATCCTGACTCTGACAAACCTAATGCCATTGTCCCAGTTAAGTGTCAATCCATCTCATCTGGGATCTTCCTCAACTATGTTGTCCCTCCACCCTTCCAAGTATGATGTCTATCTACAAGAACATGAGATGGAGCTTCAAATTCCTTGCCTCCAAGAAGAGACTTGGTTTCACCCTCTCCAGGACAGACCTATTCGTTCTCCTGTTTCACCCTCTACAAGACAGACCTATTTGTTTTCCTGGTGGTCCATTGTCAAATTACTTAATGGAGAACAATGTGTAGCAAAGAAGCAAAATCATAATACTAGAAGCCAAATTCTAATCTAAAATAAATTGAATTATGTAGGAAAAAAAATACAATTCCATATGCAGCTATATAAACTGGATATAGACAACAAAAGAAATGGTTTTCATTCAAGGTCAGCCAAAAATTTTTAACATCCTTGGTGGGATTTTTGGTATTGGTCTTCATTGGGGAAGAAATTGGTGTTGATTTATGTAATCTCCAAAATTCATCCTGATAATTACATTCCATGACAGTCTAGGTAGAGGGAGGGAAAATATCTGTATAGTGTTTCAAAAGTTTGCTTCTTATTTTGTTAATTTTACCTATTCATCTACTGAAGATGAGAAATGTATTTGATGTCATCCTCCATTATAAAAAATATCTTCCAATTGTGTTCCAAAATTCATTTCACGAATAGAAAGATACGTATTGGTTGCCTTTACTGTTTTAAAACAGCATTTAATTTGGTGGCCTAGTGGGTAAGAATAGCACTCTCAATTCAAAGGCACGTGGTTCAAATTCACTAGCTGCTCCTGGGAAGAAAGATGAATAATCTCCACACATGTACTGAATGAAAGGTCTGCTATAAGATGGTTTTGATACAAGGAGATATAATAAAAGCAACAAATTAAGAAAATCCACAGCCAAACATATACCAATTTAACTGTTCCTTTGCAATCAACATATACTTACTGCTATCTAGTTTTTGTACATGTTTTACATATACAAAAAAAAAACTAGATAGTAGTGAGTATATGTTGATTGCAAAGGAACAGTTAAATTGTTATATGTTTGGCTGTGGATTTTCTTAAAATCTGTGGATCTGTGTCGATCATAACAAACTGTGGCTGACTCTGAGAAGAATGGGAATCCCAGAACACTTGATCGTTCTAATGCGAAACTTATACTGGGACAGGAGGCAGTCGTCAGAACAGAGCAAGGGAACACTGCATGGTTCAAAATTGGGAAGGGCGTACGCCAGGGATGCATCCTATCTCCATACCTTTTCAACCTATATGCAGAACAGATTATCCAGGAGGCTGGGCTCTATGAGGAGAAATGTGGGGTCAAGATTGGTGGACGATTTATCAACAATCTGCGTTATGCGGATGACACAACCCTGCTTGTTGAAACTGAGGAGGACCTGAAGCACCTGCTGCAGAGTGTCAAGGACTGCAGCCTACAATATGGATTGAGGCTCAATGTCAAGAAGACTAAGATTCTCACCACTGGACCAATTGGCAGCATCAGGATGGATGGTGAAGAGATTGAGATTGTACACAGCTTTAGTTTGCTTGGCTCCATAGTCAACAGTCTTGGCACCAGCAGCCAGGAAATTAAAAGGCGCATTGCCATGGGAAAGTCTGCTATTAGGGACCTCTCCAAGGTGCTGAAGAGCAGTGGTGTCTCTCTGGAGACTAAGGTGCGTCTGATACAGGCCATGGTCTTTGCTATCACTTGTTATGCATCAGAGAGTTGGACAATGTCTAAGGAGGATAGAAGGAGAATTGATGCCTTTGAGCTGTGGTGCTGGAGAAGAGTATTGAGAATACCATGGACTGCTAGGAAAACAAACAGATTTGTCCTGGAGAGGGTTAAACTGGGTGGCTCCTTGGAGGCAAGGATTCTGAGGCTCCGTCTAACTTACTTTGGACATGTTGTGAGGAGAGACCGGTCCTTAGAGAGGGACATCATGCTTGGAAGGGTGGAGGGACGGCACAGGAGAGGAAGGCCCTCTATGAGGTGGATTGATTCAGTGACTGGGATAATTGGGATGGGAGTGTCAGAGACAGTGCGATTGGCACAGGACAGAGCAGAGTTTAGGGATGTTGTACATAGGGTCGCTATGAGTCGCAGGCAACTCGACAGCGCATAACAACAACATCTAGTTTTTAGGGAGCTCTGGTGGCCTACTGGCAAGAGGCTGTGCGGCAATCTCTAAGGCAAACAATAGTTCCAGGCCACTAAATGCTTCACTGGAGATGGCTGGGCAATCTCTTCCTGTGTGATTAATTGCCTCTGAAAACCTGCTGGAGGGTCAACTATGGGTCAGTTCCGACTCTATAGTACACAACAAAACCACTTAGCTTTTAGCTAAACCTCTTATTGTTGCTGTCACTCTAACACCATATGTTGTGAAGAGATTGCCCATCCTTCTCCTGTGGGGCAGGTGATGGCTTGCCTTTCTATTACAACACAGCTTCTTAGCACTAGGCCACCTGAGTCACTAGGAAAGAGACTAGAGAATCTAACGTATGCTCGTTTTTTTCTGTCTTTATAATCATCCTTCTCTAAGCATGAAGACTCTTAGTAATTACAGCAATCTTAATCTTAGGTATAGAAAGGAAGAACTACAAACCATCTTTTAAAAAAATCAGCCAATGAAAAATCCCTAGGAAATGCAATAATCCTATCTCACTGTGCATGGAGTCGCCATGAGTTGAGAACAAGATCACTGGAAACTGGTTGGGTTTTTTTGTTTGTTTGTTTTTGTTTTTGTTTTTTTTAATGAAAACATAGGGGCTACTTGGGAGGAGCAAGCGAGCGAGCAGCCTTACCTTTTACCGTCACGTGGACGCTCTGGCTGGTGGAGAGCTGCGGCTGGACCAGGACGTTGCACGTGTACTCCCCCTCGTCTACTTCCTTTTGTACATCTGAGAGTTTGAGGGTTCCATTGTTCTCAAATGCCACTTGGCGGTGGTTAAAAGGAAGCAGATTAGAGTTCTTGTACCATTTAATGGAGTAATATGGGTAGCCAATCACACGACAGTGAATGTATGTATCCCGTCCTGCTATTGCTGTGATATTTTTCATTGGTCTTATGCTCGCAGGCCCTGGAGAGACATAAAGAAACTCTTGAAAATAATTGAAGGGTACATTTCACGTGGGGAAAATGGGTATATTTTGCCTGGAAAAAGCAGGTTGTTTTCATGGAAGCACATCTTTACAAGTATTTTTAAAAACCCAAAATTCTATATTGACATTTATTCAAAGAAGTTCTTATTTCAAAGAAACTGAGAAGAGTGTACCACTTATTAACTAGTTTTCTTAAAATGTTTTGACTTGCCAAATAAAAGGCAATTTAACCAATAAACATGTAACTAGTCTACACTGGGAAGTCATGCTTGTGTGAAAACACTGGCCATAATTGATAAACTGCTTAAGTCTTTCTAGAAAATATATTATGACGATGGAGTTTATGCCATGTTGCACTACGAATGTTGGTTAAAAACCATGTACATAAAGGCTTACCATGAATGTAGTAAAACAGAAGAGATGACGGAAGGGGCATGCAGAGCAAAAACCAAGAAAGAAAAGATCAAGTGGGAAAATCTAAGAGTTAAAAAAAGATACAAAGAAACAAGCTGACTAAATAAACTGAAATGCCATTTCCAACATTAACCCAATCAGTGCCATTCCGGAGTCGGAAGGAAACAGTAGGAAATGGGAAGCAACAGATCATCCGTTCTGGCATTCCAAGACTCAGTTCGGTGCATGCAGAAACCTCCTTCTCCACTACAATGAGTCATGTGTGTTTTTTTTTGAGGAGCTGATTTGACAAGCACCTCTTACGTTTATTCGAGCCTGGTACAGGACGACTCCCGCCGAGTTGTTGGCAGTACAGCGATAGACTCCCCCATCGCGGACCTGAGAGCTGGAGATGTTCAGGTAGCTGACCACGTTGCCCTCTGATGTGATCATCTGGCTGATGCGATGACCGCCTCCCTTGAGGATCGGGTCATCGTCCAGGGTCCACGTGATCGTGGGCAATGGGGTTCCCTTTACATTGCACATGAGGGAAACGGGTTCGGCTGGACTCACTACTTTTTCACTAAAGGCAGAAATAATTTTGGGAGTTCCATCTGCAGAAAGACAAATTACGGCAGAAAGTGGCAAATACAAATCACTAAACAAATGTCAAGTACATTTAGTTAATGATCAAGACACAGATGCAGTGGCTACCAAGTATGTCTGGCTTTACTAGAGGAGCTAAAATTGCATGCAGATAATAAGATTTCAAATTCCACATGAATAATAAGATTTTCAATATTTTCAAAATAGGTAAATACAATACCAGCAAGACTTAATGCACCACAACTACATTTCCAAATGTCATAATAAAAAAAATAATAGTGTAACTCAGATGTTCATAGTTAGCCATGCCAGCTTCTAACAAGATTACAATTCAAAACTATATCCACACCCAAAATTGTAAACATAAAGGAAATCCATACACCAAAGTGAATTTGTCTTTGTACTTCCTTCTCACGCTAATTCCTTAAGTGTTACTCATTCAGCAATTGTGTAGAGCAATAAAACAAATAAGAAACTGACGATCTCACCTTCATGATTTTCTCAAAAGAAAAAATACTTTGTTGTTTCAAGGATAAATGGTCAGTGCATATAAAAGTACATGAAGGCTCTGAGAATGAATAATGTTGGCCCTATGAGCATATTCTCTATCTCTCTACATGTAGTTTAAGTACTATGGGTATATAATTCATCATGTACATGGAGATGGAGCTCAGATTGAAATAAAATTATTAGTAATTATGTCAGGAGAACACACACAACTTAAGACTGTTCCATACAAACTGAGGTCTTAATGTGAGAGAGTTTTTCATAGGACCTTCTAAGAATTCTAAAGCATTCAGCAAAAGCAAACCATCACTGTTATTCTATCACTTTTGTGCCCTTTCTTTTCATGTTTTCATATGTCAAATAACATGTTAAATATACTAATATGTTTCATATGTTCTTTCTTTTAATGCTTCCATATGTTTTCCTTCTGGTCAGTTTTTCTACTGTTGGTAAATAGATACAAATATATTAAAGAAATAATGATGTTGTTGTTGTTGTTGTTGTTGTTATGTGCCATCGAGTCGCTTGCAACTCATAACGACCCTACGTACAACAGCCCTAAACTCTGCTCTGTCCTGTGCCAACCGCACTGTCTCTGACACTCCCATCCGGATTATCCCAGTCACTGAATCAATCCATCTCATAGAGGGCCTTTCCCTCCTGCACTGTCTCTCCACCCTCCCAAGCATGATGTCATTCTCCAAGGACCAGTCTCTCTTCACAACATGTCCAAAGTATGTTAGACAGAGTCTCAGAATCTTTGCCTCCAAGGAACCACCCGTTTTAACCCTTTCCAGGATGAATCTGTTTGTTTTCCTAGCATTCCATGGTACTCTCAATACTCTTCTCCAGCACCAAAGCTCAAAGGCATCAATTCTCCTTCTATCCTCCTTCGTCATGTCCAACTCTCTGATGCATAACAAGTGATTGTGAAGACCATGGCCTGTATCAGACACACCTTAGTCTCCAGAGAGACACCATTGCTCTTCAGTACTTTGGAGAGGTCCCTAACAGCAGACTTTCCCATGGCAATGCGCCTTTTAATTTCCTGGCTACTGGTGCCAAGAGTGTTGACTGTGGAACCAAGCAAACTAAAGCTATGAACAATCTCAATCTCTTCACTATCCATCCTGATGCCGCCAATTGGCCCAATGGTCAGAATCTTTGTCTTCTTGACATTGCGCCTCAATCCATATTGGAGACTACAGTCTCTGACCCTCTGCAGCAGGTGCTTCAGATCCTCCTCAGTTTCAGCAAGCAGGGTTGTGTCATCTGCATAACTCAGATTGTTGATAAATCGTCCACCAATCTTGACCCCACATTTCTCCTCAGAGAGCCCAGCCTTCCGGATAATCTGTTCTGCATATAGGTTGAAAAGGTATGGAGATAGGATGCATCCCTGGCATACGCCCTTCCCAATTTTAAACCATGCAGTGTTCCCTTTCTCTGTTCTGATGACTGCCTCCTGGTCCAAGTATAGGTTTCACATTAGAACGATCAAGTGTTCTGGGATTCCCATCTTCTCAGAGACAGCCACAGTTTGTTATGATCCACACAGTCAAACGCCTTTGCATAGTCAATGAAACACAGATAGACATTCCTCTGGTATTCTCTGCTTTTAGCTAAGATCCATCTAACATCAGCTACAATATCCCTAGTATTACGACCCCTTCTAAACCCAGTCTGGACTTCTGGTAGTTCTCTGCTAATGTGCTGTTCCTGTCATTTTTGGATAATCTTCAGTAGAATCTTGCTTGCATGTGAAATCAGTGAGATTGTTCTGTAGTTTCCACATTCTGCTGAGTCACCTTTCTTTGGGATGGGAACAAATATAGATCTCTTCCAGTCAGTTGGCCAAGTGGATTCAGAAGTCAAAAGAAGAAAAGGTACCAATAAGCCTGACTTGTGAGATACATAAATGAACATTGTAGTTTCCTCCCTAAACATTAATAAGTGATTCTGACATAAATGTTCACTTCCAAAGTGGTTTATGGGTCTAACTATAAACAATGTCTAAAAAGGATATTTTTGAGGTTTTTCCTAAAATAATTTTGAACGCATTTAAAATATTTATCAGCTTTTAGATTTTCATTACAAAAGTACTATAAATTTATTATGGAAAAATTAGAAGGTCTAGGTAAACATGCAGGTAGAGGGACAACAAAACTGAGAAGAGCCCGCATTTTGAGCATTTTAAATTCTCCTGACCACAGAATCATTCATCACCCCATAGGCCTGTTTCTGCAACCAGGTGGACCAGCTGAACACTTCATGAGTTGTGGAACCATACGGTCTACCAACATCCATTCTCAAATCCCTTAATTTTAACATCTTCATTATGACTTTATATAGATTCTTCAAATAATTGAAAAAGATTATTTCATCTTCAGCAGAGGAAACTAATGTTCAGCCAGCTGGGGACTTACATTCATAGGTAGTACATGCCGGTGTCCTAGGATAGCAAATATTTTTCTTATGAAAGATGACGAAGTAACTTTATAAGAGTGAAATGAAAGATCTGTGCCAATTGATGTATGGTGTATCTTAACTGAAAGCATGCGGAAGCTAGACAATGAATACAGATGATCGAAGAAGAACTTATGTCTTCAAACGGTGGTGTTGGTGAAAAATATTAAGTATAGTATTGCCTGCAAGAAGGACCAAGAATCTATCTTGGAAGAAGTAGTCAGAATGCTCATTTGCAGTGAAGCAGGTGAAACTGTGTCTCATAGTCTTTGGATGCATTATCACAAAAGATCAGTCTCTGAAGAAGAATATAATCCTGGTTAAAGTACAAGGAACAAAGAACTGGAAGACTCCCACTTCACATAAAACAAAATGGAAATGTTTCCAGTTCCTGGGCCATCTTCACAACTGCTGTTTGACTTGAGTCCATTACTACAGCAATTGTGTCACTCTATCTCATCGAGTCTTCCACTCACTGACTCTTGTTAATCTGTCCCCCTCCAGGTGCTGATGTACCAGAATAAGTGCACTGAAATCTTTCTCAATGTTCTGTAAATGACGAAGGCTTTCATGGACTAATTTTCTGAAACAGGTGACCATCCTTTCTTCCTTAGTATAGCTTAGAACACAAGTTCTGCTGAAAACTGAAATCCATGGGTGACTGACTCTCATGGTATATGAAAATAATGGTGGGAGAGCTTCCAGGATCACTCTAACATGCAAACCACCCCAGTACGACAAATCGATATCTGTCTATGCATTTTTCCCCAGTTACAGTTATTTGTTGGTGAAATTTATATACAGGGAAGTGTACAGATCTTAAATGTACAAACAGATTCATTTTATTAAATATCTATCATTGTGTAATCAAAACATCAAACATGTACATTACCTCAAAAAACTTTCCAAGGACTTCTTTCAATCAATTCCCTACCCAATCTACACAATCACCACTATTCTAATTTCTACCACTATATATATCTTTTGCTTATTCTTATACTTCAAATAATTAAAATTTTATATGTGTGTTGTTGTTATGTGTCATCAAGTTGACTATAACCCATACCAACCCGATAAACCTGAACCTGCCCTTAACCCTGCCCTATCCTGAGCCAATTTCACTGTCTCTGACACACTTGCCCCTATTGCCAAGTCACTGTGTCAATCCACCTCACCCAGGGTCTTCCTCTCCTGTGCTGACTATCCACTGTTCCAAGCATGATGGCCTTTATCAAGGACTGGTCCCTCCTGACAATATGTTCAAAGTATTCAAAATCCTTGCCTCCAAGAAACAAACTTGTTTCACCTTCTCTGGAACAGATCTGTTTATTCTCTTGGCAGACCATAGTATGTTCAATATTCCTCTCCAACACCACCACTCAAAAGCATCAATTCTTCTTCTGTCATCCGTTGTCACTGTCCAAGAGCAAGTCATTGCAAAGACCATGGCCTGAATCAGGCACATTGTGGTCTTTGGACTGACATTGTTGTTCATTAGCACTCAGGAAAGGTGCTCAATAGAATACTTTACTAAAGGAACTAATGTTTTGATTTCCTGACTGCTGATGCCAAGAATGCTTATTGTGGCCTAGAGAAAAATGACATCGCTAACAACTTCAATCTTTTCTCAACCCATCATGCCACTGCCAATGGGCCTGGTGGTGAGAATCTTTATTGTCATGATGCAGTCCATATTGAAGTCTTCAGTTCTTGACCTTCTGTAGCAAAAGCTTCAAGTCCTCCTCAGTTTTGGTGAGCAAGATTGTGTCAACTGCATAACACAACTTGTTAGTATAACACAATCCTGATGCCATATTCTTCTTCTTAAAGTCCAGCCACCCAAATGATCTGTTCTGCTTATAGACTGAAAACGAATGGATAAAAGATACATCTTCGACACACTCCTTTCTTGATTTTGAACTATGCAATGTTTCCTTGCTCTGTCCATATGACAACTTCCTGGTCTACGTATAGGTTTCACATAAACACAATCAACTCTTCTGGGATTCCCATTCTTCTCAATGTTAGCCACAGTTCGTGTGATCCACACAGTCAAATGCCTTTATATAGTCTATAAAACACTAATTGACATCTGGTACTCTCTACTTTCAGCCAAGATTCATCTGACATTGGCAATGACATCCCTAGTGTCGTGGTATGTGTGTGTGTGTGTGTGTGTGTGTGTGTGTGTGTATAGATATATGGATATATATATATATATATATTCTACATTTTTCATTACAGTTAGCAATCAAATTCTCTTTGGAACTGTATTATCCTCTAATCTGCAATACATGTTTTCTCCTTTAATTTGTAACATACTTTATTTTCATTTTGTGGTTTGTTTTCTGTGCTGTTCTTTTAGGAACATAAGCCCATCATTTTATAGTCAGTTGCTTATACTGGCTTTTTCTGATTTTATTCATCGTTAGATACAGGCTGTGCAATTTGACATAAACACTATAGAAGTTAGTTATATTGTTTTTTATGTCTTTGTTGGTTATTTGTATATTTTTTGTTTTAAAATATTTGTAAGTCTTCCCCCCGCATTGTTATACTGAATGTTTTTATTTTGCCTATTTGTTATTGATTTGTAGTTCTTTATGTATTTCCTAAGTACAGATAACCTTAAGTCTTAAATCCAGACATATTTACCAGATTCATTATACACATAGCTATCTATCTATCTGTCTATCTATCATCTATCTATCTAATCTACCTAATCTATCATCTACCTATTATCTATCTCTCTATCTAATCTATCATCTAACTATTATCTATCTATCTATCTAATCTATCTATCTATCTATCATCTATCTACAGTGCATGTGCAGGTATGTGGGAGGTATATCTGTAATATTTTCTCCCAGTCTGTGGTTGTCCCATATTCTTAATTATGGGCTTCATTTTTTACATCTACTGCTTGCTGTATCTTAAGAATTCTGCTTTACTTAAAATTACAGGAAATTCTTACACATTTATTTTAGAAATGTTATTGTTTTGAATTTTACATTAAGGTCTATAATTTATATCAAATTACTTTTTTGAAAAAAGTAGGAATTAATGTTCATTTTGTCAGTCATTTACTTAAATTTCCCAGTACTGTTTGTTGTATTACTTGCTAAATATTGTAATTTTGATAAGCAATTGATCATACATGTATAGGAATATTCCAGTGATCTCTGTTGTTGTTGTTGGTATGTGCCATATATCTTGTTTAATATAACTTTGTAGAAAGCATTGAAACTTGCTTGTATATTTCATCTCCTTTTATTCTTTTCCCCAAGATTATTTGGGTGATTCTTTGTCCGTTACTTTTTAAGTATCTTTGTTAAACTAATTTTAGATTATAGGTGGTCTGTTTATTTGTATAAATTTTATAATAAACGATCTTTGAAAGCTATTGTAATTTTGTTTGGGATTATATTGATTCTTTTAAAAATTATTTCAATAGCAATTTTCAAACCATGAATACAATAAATCTTTCCAATTTTTAAAGGTAATCTCAGTTTTACATTAGGAATATTTTTATGCTATTTTTTAATTTTATTAATTTTCATGAA